CTGCCCACTCTTCTCCTGAGAGAGTATTCTTGCTCAAAGTCACTTTACTTTCTTAACTTCTCTGCTTGTCTCCTAATTCTTTTGCAATGAGGTAAGAACCTTAACTTCACTGGGAACAGTAGTGATTATAAAATAACTATTATGGAAATTTCCTGGTGGTCCAGTGGTTAAGACTCCATGCTTCTAATGCAGAGAACATTGGTTCCATCCCTAGTCAGGGAACTAAAGTCCCACATGCCTGCGGAGTGGCAAAAACATTTAAAAACAGAACAAAACAACAAAAAAAACAGCACCTGGTAAATATTCTTTGCTCAGTAAATGTGACTTCCTTTCTAACTTGCTGGCTGTGCAATCCTACACAGCATTCGATATTTTCTGATGACAGTATATCTGAAAATACTATGCAGCAAATATCCCCCTGCCTTTCAGCACAAGAAAGGCACATGCAAATTCTCTTTTTCCAGTGTTTTTTATTTGTACATTTAATATTCACAAATCATTTTACAGATTTTTTCTTTTCACAGGTTCTTTATAGGAAAGATGAGGATTAAAACAGCATATTGAAGAGGACCAAGAAATACCAGCAGTGATGATGCAGAGTACAAATGCTCTGAAAGAGAACAGAGTGAACAAGAGCAGCATGTGGCCACTTCCTAAGAGGCTGGAACACTAAATTCATTAAGGCAAAACCTTTATTTACTGTGTTATTTCTCCCTCCCACCTAGTTTACCCAAGTAGAAAAGCATTCTATTCTCATACTACTGCTCTCTGAGGTCTTAGGAATATAGCTGGTACTATATGTGACCAGCGGCATCTCTTGACTATAAACACCTGAATAGACAAGTTAAATTTTGATGTGTTAACTATCCCTCTAGAAAAAATAAAACAAAGAGGCAGAAGTTGCTTGATTATTAAGACCTGATTCTTAAGATTCTTAAGATCCCTTAAGGGGGAGGGAATGTGTGTCTGGTGGTGCAAGGAGGGGAGGGGCTCAAGGAGTGAGGGCAGCAAACCTAACTTCCCAATGTACAACTGCTCTTGTGTTTTTCTCAGATGCTGCTAAGTGTACTGCTCTAGTACTCAGAAAAAAAAAGAACAGGTTATTGACCACCTACAGCTGTAGGTTGTAATGGCTAATAATGGGGACCATACCCTGGGGAGGGTTTATTTCATATGCATAACAATGCAATTCAAAACTATTGTCCTACTATGATCTCAGATAATGTGTTTTCCTATTTTAAATCAATTTACTGTGTGACCTCGGATGATTTAATTAATCTTTCTGTGCCTCAATTTTCTACCAGTAAAATGAGGATTTTGGAAAAGACCCTGATGCTGGGAAAGATTGAAGGCAGAAGAAGAGGGCGACTGAGGATGAGATGGCTGGATGGCATCACCAATTCAATGGACATGAACTTGGGCAAACTCGAGGAGACAGTGAGGGACAGGGAAGCCTGGCATGCTGCAGTCCATGGGGTCATGAAGAGTCGAATACTATTTGGTGACTGAACAACAACAACAAAATGAGGATTGTACCACTTTATGTTGAAGATTGGGAGAGATGCACTGGCCAAATCAACAGACACAGAAAGAAGACTGATGGCTGCCAGGGGGTGGGGAAAAGGGAAAAAGGGAGTGACTGCTAATGGATATGGGGTTTCTTTGTGGAATAATAGAATGTTCTAAAATGAGATAATGGTGATAGGTGCACTATTATGTAAATATACTGAAAAATCACTGAACTGTACATTACTTTAAAAGGGTGAATTTTGTGGTAAAGTGTATCCCAATAAAGATGTTATAAAAATTCTTAAAAAAATAGAAGTGTCTGGTACACAGTAAGTGCCCAATAAATGTTAGCTATTATTAGTAGTAATATTATTGTTACATTATTATTTAGCCATCCTATGGCCTAAGTAAATCCCTAGAAATTATTTTTAATAAAAGCCCACAGAATCCAGAAAAGTATTTCTATTTTACATATATGATATATGGATTAACATTCACACATTTATTTCTATCCAAATTGAGAAATGAACAGTTTAAGAATCACAATTTCAGTATTCTAATCTGGAATAAAACAACCGCATGCAATGGATGTCTGATCATATCAGGATAGGTTTTAGGTAAATTTCAATGACTTGATGCTACCCAAGAATCTGAAATGATGGGAGATTTTCATTTTCTTCTCCAGGAATAAAGAAGAAGTCCAAACACAGTAAGTGCTTAGATTATGTAGTGTACACAGTTAAACTTTCAAATATATGCTTACTAGCCTTCTAATCACTTTTTGGGGGACACTTTATAAAAAAACAACTAAACAGTAAAATGTTTACCATGCCCTGTGATCCCCCTCACCTTGCAAAAAAGAAAATCCCCAACACAACAAAAAGATACAACTCAACTCACGCAGTAAGTCACTTAACAGGCAAAAGGCAAAAGATCTGACAATTAGTGACTGAATTTTAACACTACTGCATAAAGATATTTGCATCAATTGAGTTTTTTTATAATCTGAACAGCAATTAAATCCAGTCTTCAGCTTTCCTATTGCTAGAAGAATATGACAACAGTCAATCTCAGAAGTAGGAGCAGCAAGTGATAAACCACAATGGCAGTAATGCACCACATTAGGCAATGATGCTCACATGCTTGAATTTCATCTAAAACATGAAACCTTCCAATTACTGGAACAGAGTTTCCTTTGTTCGAGTCCTTTTCCCTTCTGGTCTTGCTTTCTATAATTAGCCATGTGCCTCTGCAGCAAATCAGGGAAAGTTGTTTTGAGGGTTACGACTTCCAGATACTCAGATCTTCTGTGCCAGAAAGCAATGCACTTTTTTGCATATATTAATATTTATTTATGCCCTCAAACTGACCCCTCATTTTCAGAAAGATAATTTCAAATAAAACTATTCCCTAAGTCACCCAAAACCAACAGATTAAAACAGAACAAGTTACCTTAACACCCAATATGTGTAATACCCTCCCTCTACCCCCAACCACACAAAGACCCCCACCAAAGTTGTGGCCTTAGGAATTTCTGATCAAATATTTAGCCTGAGTAAAATTCAGTAAAGATTTAATTCCCTTTTAAGAAGCATGAGTATTTCTTTCATTTTACATTATAATCATTGGGACAGATTACAAAACAACTTTGGAAGAGAGTGTGTTTTGTGAGAAGTTAGAAAATTTCAGACAGTGGAAACGGATGACATGTTAGGACCAATTTCAAACTTAGAACCAGTTTCAAAATATTTCAAAATATAAATATTTACCAGTTCAAGAATGAAATATTGGCTTTGTCCTAACAGGATTTATTTTGAAATTGTAAAGGGAAATTGAAACAAATACATAACCAAAATATCTGGACAAGACTGGGACAGAGAGACCCACTTTGCAATGCTCTGTAATTGAGTATCATTCCAAGGACTCATTTGTCCTAGTACTGTTCACTTGGTCTTGGTTAATCCAGGGATGAGGAAAATATGCTTTTAAAATTACATATCAATGTGTAGGTCATCTTCAAATACAAATGAATAAATATTTAAATTTCATGATAAAGAAAAATGTGGAATAAGAAATTGCTATATTTGTAAGTAACTGTATATTTACAATGTTTTCTGCCTGACTCCTAACTTTTGTCTATTAAGAGTTCTTCACTGTGCAATTTACAGAAGTCAGCAGCTCATATTAACTTAAAGGAGCCCCAATTAGCTCAGAATCAGCCTGTCTCAGACACTCTGCTCCCTTCAGACTTGTGTGCATAAACAGCTGAGAATACAAGTAGGTGCACATGTGCAAAAAAGTAGCTGTCTAAAAGAAATCTAACTGGCTTTACAAATAGAAGTTTAAAACCAAGAAAATAAACTATTTCCCAACCTGAAAAACGCGCCTAATCAAAAAACTGCTAAGCCCATTAGTAGAAAAGGTGGCAGCTGTAAACTCAACTCATCCTATGTAATGCTTTAAGCATGGAGCTGTTCTGTCAATCAGCCATCAGAACACTAAATCCCTCCAGGTTCACATGGTTGAATGCAGCCTTCTGATTTAGCTTTACTTTCTAGTTAGAGGGCAGACTACACAGAACAGCAAGAAATTCCTTAGAGTTATATGTCATTCTACCCTGAAAAGAAGGTGCCCACATGATAATATGCATCAGGGACCTACCAATCTAAATTTCTGAGGTCTTCTACTTGGGTAAGTTCAAGCATTGGTCCACTAAGAGCTTCAGTCGAAGAAAAATTACATGTTCACTGCTAATATCTTAGCTTGCAAACGCAAACTTGGGAGTAAGATTAAAATTAAAGTGTCACTGAGAAAATTAAAGTGTCACTGAGCTGCTATTTAACATGGCAGAGAGGTGACTATACAGAAAGACTAAAAAACCTTATGCTTTAGATGTCCTTTGATTTTTTTTTTAAGCAACAAGTGCAGAATTGTCTCTAATCAAAATCTGAATTTTGGTTAGTGCATGTTTTCTCCTCCCACATCTATGAACCCCCTTCCCAACCTCTGTCATTGTCTTTTTAAGCTTAAGAGAAATAAAATAGACAGGCTATCCCTTCTTATTTATGAAAAGAGAGGAATATTCTAATAGTCATAAGGCAATATGTTTAAGAGCTGCACCTGAACTGGTATTCTCAAAACTGAAAATATAGTAACCAACTCTATTCAACTTGCAGAATGAATCCATGTTGCTTTCCAAGTCATTGGCTGTCACCCAAATGAACCACAGTGATCCCATCATGCCTTACGAGGCATTATATTGTGTGTACTATGCACACATATTTTAAAGAAGTAACATGAAGAGGGAAAGGACAGCTTTTCAAACAGTTCCTTACATGAATGGTGACGGTGCTTTATGGCTCCCTTTTAATCACCTCACACACCCAGTTACCAAGTAACTCCAAAACAGACAAAAGAGGGCCAGAGGCAAAGCTTCGTGGTGAACTGCATCTTTGAGATGAGTTTTGAATTCCCTGGTTTTTAATTTCCATTTACTGAGGAGTGAAGGTGAGAATCATCCAACTGATGACAAAATAAAACAAGAAAACAGGATAAACGGCAAGGGCTTTGCGGTTTGGAGGCTGGCTATCAGCAAGAAAAGCTGTAGAAGCTAAACAAAACAAAACAAAAGGAATATTTAATACAATAGAGTGTCACAACTATTAACATTTACTAAATTTGAATGTGCTTGGTATAGTCTGGGACACAGACTTATATACTACAAGTTCAGTTATATTTTTGACCTTAAAACTGCATTTGGCAGCAGCTGAGAGCTGCTTGGTTCAAGGATGGAAAGCTTCTTTCCAACCATTTTAGATAGAAACCTTTCTAAAAAGGGGTTTCTTACACTTTTCTGAGAAGCTACTGAACTGTGTTAAAAAGGCTTACAAAGCTCCTATGCCAAATGGTCTCACACTGTTGTATTTTTTGAGTAACTGTTCTTATTATCAACTCTTCTATTATTTATCTATTTCTCTGGCTGTGCCAGGTCTTAACTGCAGCACACTGGATCTTCACTGCCACATGTGGGATCTTCACTGTAGCATGTGGGCTCTTTAGTTACGCCATGCAGGCTCTAAGTTGTGGGATATAGAATTTTGTTCTTTGACCAGGGATCAAACCCCAAGCTCCCTGCATATGGAGCATGGAGTCTTAACCACTGGACCACTAGGGAGGTCCCTATCAGCTCTTTTAGATGCCAACCCTCTTGACCATTCAGGAAACACCTACTCACCTTTTTATTCAATAATGATCCTTCAAGGAAATCTTTCCTGAACAACCATCTGGCATCCTACCACCCCAAGCAGAACCGCCCACTTACCTCTTCTGTGTCCCCACTATACCTGGCACAGACTTCCATTGCCCACCTGGAACACTTCATGGCCCTTAAGTGTTTACATGCCTAAATTGTGAACTCAGAGGATAGACACCATGCCTAGCACAATGCCTGACACATAGTTTGTGCTTAATACACATTAGCTGAATTACAAGTACCTCTCTCTCTTCTAAGATTCTACTTGCTGAACCTTGGTGGGCCTGGACACAGGACAACTAAGCTATTTAGAACTACATGTACAGTAAATCATCAGACTCTAAGTGAGGAAATGAGGGGTTTTTCCATAGGCAGTTGAAGTGCTCAAGCTTAATAGTCTTTGGGACAGCAGTTTTGGCATTCTCAAACCTTAGTTTGGATCACTTCTTGGCTTTTAACCATTTTCTAAAACAAAGAGATGTTACTGCGCACAAAAATATTAGGCAGCCTATCTATCGCATTAAAAAGAAGCTAGTGAACACTTTCAGTTTAAGGTGGGATTTCAAGAGAATTTTAGGGATGTACAAATAATGAATAAATAGCATTCATCACCACTGCTACAGGCTCTCCTTAATCTTTAGCAGAATTTTCTACTGAAGCAGAAACATACTATGTAATGATATTTAACAACCTATACTGGGTGGTGCTATAGTACAGTTCTAAAAAGGTATGTGATTACTTGGGTTTGACACTTGACTCCCCTATTCTCTAGTTATGTGTCCTAGGGCAAGTTGCTTAACCTCTCTGTGTCTGTTTCTCATCTATAAATATGGGACCAATAATAACACAGTTTTTATTTATTATGGTTGTTGTGAGGATTAAATGAGATGACATAAATCAAGTACTTATGACAGTTCCTGGCCTATAATAAGTAATCAGTAAATGCTAACTATTATCATGATTAATTTGTCTGGAAAAGGCTCAAGTCATTTCTCAAGTCACCTATGCCTCCTATATGCCAGGACTAAGCTAGTTCTAGTGTAATGTCCTTTCCCAACCCTATCCATTATTTAAAGATTGAAGAAACAAGAAAGATGTGACTCCACATCTCAGAAGTCCAGATAGCCAACTCAGATAAAATGGACGTTATCCCTACTGAGAGCAGATGGTTCTATGGATGACATTAGCAAGAATCATATCATTAATGTGACTTATAAGTTACACTTCTCCTCACCTGGTCTTCATCTCTAACCCATATTTTCAGTCTGCTCTGCTACCACAGAAATTAAGTACATTCTTACCTACTATAGACCAGGCAAACATGATGATCACCACAAAAAGCCGGACCATGAAGTTTACTGGTCCTGGCTCAGCCAAAAGTACCAGCCGGCAAACCAGCATTGCCATTGTCAGGGGAAGTATACAGTATCCCAGCACACAAAGGCTCTGAAAAAAAGATCTAGAAAACAACATACATCCATAAAGATCATATATATAGTTGATCTATATCATGATGCAATTTATTATACAGATTTCTATGTATCATGGATCATTACTTTCCTCCAGATAGATATTACCTATACCCTAATGTTCATTTTATGAGGATAGGCCTCTGTATTAAACATATGCCTTAGTTTTTCTCTCCCCATACTCTCCTCCTCTCCACTTTAACGCCTTAACAGTCAGCCATTTAGGATCTAGATGATCTACTCTAATTCCTAGAGACCTCTTTCTCCCAGTAAACTGCTAAGATTTTGTTTCTTAATCTTTTCTGGTTTATAGACCTATTTGAGCATTTGTTGAAAGCTATGGGGCATCTGTTCCCAAAGACAAATGTAATCTTCTAACACAAAATGTTCTGCACATAATTTCAGGGGCTGGAGAGAGAACATCTGAAGCTTATCAAAGGATCCCAGATAATTTAACATAATTTAATTCAACTAGGTTATTTCTGTTCAGTGTCTTTAAGAGAACTTTCTTTTTGCTCTCATTTATTGTGATTTTTCTTTTTGAAAAATACATAACAAGCCAGACTTCCTTAAAAAATCTAAGATATGCAACCTGGAAATGGAAAAAGAATGCATTTTAATAATACTCACATGTTTCCTCCAAGAAGTTTTGAGTTGAGGGTGATGGTAACTGCACCAAACCAGACAATGACAAACACTTCTGCAAACTGGGGCCCTCCATCTTTTTCGCTATCTACAGAGCCTCTTTGAAGCATTCTGTGACAAGGAAATGGCATGAGAATTGCCTAACCTTATTTAGAGCAACACAATTAAGGTATGGGTTCTCAAACTTTGAATCAGGGTGCTGCTCTATATCTTACCTGAAGATCTCTTATAGGTTGTACAAAAGGAAAATGCCACAAGTATATAGCAAGGCTATAAGGGATGCCCCCTTTGATACTGTGGGAATGTTTAAATGGATTACTGAAGACCTTTTTTGGTTAAGCAGAGGATATAAACTGAAGGCCTAAGTGTGACTTACGGACACGAGGTTGCTGGTCCATATAATACTTTTAAATGGTCTTAAATTCAAGTTGATGTTATTTTAAAATTGGGAGATTTCACATAAAATATGTATTTATGGATTTTCTTAAAAAATAGAAGAGTTTCTTTCACCGTGCCTGCATTTCTACATGGCAACAATCAGGTGCAGTTGACACAGCAGCAGATTCCTTCACAAGGGCTTTTTGGTCACCAATTTGCAATGCATGCATATACACATTTGAATTTGTAATTCTTGGGTTAAGGTTCTAGTTCTGGCATTAAAAAATGCAAACAGCCTATCTATTTAGTTGTTGATCTTTTAAAAATCAAAACATACAGATTACCACTAAAAGGCTTTCTTTGAAACTGAGTAATTTAACAGTCACTTAAATCTTAAGAATTTAAAACATAAATAAACTGTTTTGAATTTTGGACTTACACTTGTACTCTGTGTCATTATTTTCAGTAACAGAATAAATAACATCACCTCAAAACTTCTTTTTTAACAACCTCTTCTTATTACAAAGTATAGACAAATCACACCGTCAGTCTTGTGCTGCTATGCTATTTGCCAGCACAGGCTTTTGTATTCTATGGTTCTGCATACTCCATTCCGAGTCCTGACAATTTGATAAGAATGCTAGCCCTGATCACTTGTCCTCTGGAACTCCTATTACTTCAGCATGGTATGATAGAAAGAGGATTAACTGGCCTGGAAGGCAGGAGACACAGATATTGATCCTAATTCTGTCACCAGATATGTAAACTAGAGCAAATCACTTGATGTCTTGGGACTCCGATTTTCTCTGCAAATAAGCAGGATTAAATTCCATAATCTCTAATCTTTCAAAACTAAAAAAGTATATGCTCAGAGCTTTTAATATAAACACTTACATCAAGGCACTGGATTATGTCCCTTGATATGGTTATTAAAAGCATAAGATAGAGCACTCCATGTTTTTACCTAAATTACCAGGCACTTGACTTTACATTTAAAAAGAGTTAGAGAAGCCAGTAAGAAATTTGAATCTACAATCACAATAGGTTAGGCCTGGAAATGACCCTCAACCATCTACTTTTATAGATATGGAAAAGGAAACCCAGAGAGGTTAGGTAGGAAGAGATGTGTAATAATCACAGAGGTAGAGAATGGGCAGTCAAGGAAACCTGAAGTGGAATTCCAGCTCTACCACTGATTGATTATGTGGCGTTTAGTTCAGTCCTCAATCTCTTTGAACCTGAGCTTGTCTGTCAAAAGACGAAAATAATATTCACTAATATTCAATAAGGGGATAAGAGAAGGTATTTAAAAGTTTTTTTCAGAGGTCCAAAGTTACTCTGCTGATAGCAAAGTTAGTATTAGAACCCAGAAATGGATCCTAGTGTAGTATTTTTTCCACTCTACCAGTGGTTATATTACCCTCTCCAGCAGATCTTTTGCTTTCCTTTTTCTGTCCTCTTCCCCTTTACATACAATGAGTATGAAAAATATAACACTTTGTGAAACATGATCTTGCTTTGAACTCAACCACTTCTAGTTTAATCTCACTTATACTTTTAGTAAAATTTTAAAAGAATTATGTTTGCAAATAAATACTACTTTAATTGTTTAGTACTTAAACCTTTAAGATACTTAATTCACTTAGCTTAATGATGGGGAGGTAAATGAGTGTGAATAAATATTGAATAGAAATGACTAAAACAGGGTAAGAACTCACTGATAAATGAGGGTGGGCATAATTTTCATATCTTTAATTCCATCACTTTTTTAATTGATCTAGAAAGCTACTTGACTTTTTAGATTTAAATGCATAAGGAGTATAATTTGTCAAAGTCCAAAATGAAAAATTCAGTCAAAATCCCCTTCAATTTTGAAACTCCATGAAGAAAGCTTAGCCTATCTCAAATGACAAAGAAAGGAAATATAAGTACTTACAATGCAAGCGTCACACAAAGGATCAAAGGGCCCCATAAATCCCCTACAAGAAAAGAAAAGACAGAAAATTGTTAAGACACAGGCATATAGCATTTTCTGTCTTTTATTCTGCCATTCTTGGCATTCAGACACTAAGGCTTTCTCTGTCTGCCCAAAGCTTCCACCTCTCCTATCCCTCTATTGGCCTTCTCTGCTCCCCAATTCTGAATGCCCTTCTTCATATATCCTTTAAATTTTGCTCATTTCATACAACACAAAGCACCCCTCTCCCCAGCTACTATGGTAAAGAATCTGCCTGCAATACAGGAGACCAGAGTTCAATTCCTGGGTCAGGAAGATCCTCTGGAGAAGGGAATGGCAATTCACTCCAGTATTCTTGCCTGGATAATCCCATGGACAGAGAAGTCTGGTGGGCTACAGTCCATGGGGTTGCAAAGAGTCAGACACGACTGAGTGACTAACACACACACCACCTACTAAGCCACATTCCAGCAAGCTATCATTAAAGACCAATAGGCAAGGAGTCAGAAAACTTAAATGCCCCACCCTGCACAGTTGGGAAGAAGACTAAAGCCAAATCACTTCACCAATCTGAGGGTACGTTAGACAAGGCAAGTATAATCAGGCTCACCTCAAAAATATGAAAAATGAAGTGGAGAAGAAGTGATGTGCCCAAGTTAATATAAACAGTTAAGTGTGGGGGTAGGACCAGAACCTAGAAACAAAACCAGAATCTTCTGATTCCTACTACAAAGTCCTTTCTACTCTACAACACAGCTTCCCTTTCATAATTACTACACTGAACTAGTACAGAACTGCTGTTCTCATAAAGAGAGAAAACAGCCCAACATTGGTAATTTCAAAGGGTTAAATGTTAACAAATAACATGAAAACTTTTTGAAAACTATAAAGGCTCTGCCGATATCAGATCTAAGCACGGTTGTTCTCAACCAATAGCTGTTGAGTGATTAATACACCAATAGTTCAGTAACATAAAGCTTAAAGCACAATTATCTTCCTCAAATAATATAAAAAAGGGTACATACTACTTCTAACTTTAACTTCACTTGTACATAACTTTACCTGAAAGAGTAATTTTGACACCACTGTGGAATGTTTGTAAAAGATGTAAAAAAAAAAGAAAAATCACAATCCTAACACTCTAATAGACTATGTTTACTAGGTAAACAATAAAATTTTCATCTCCCAAACTGAAACTCCAACCTGTTAAACAATAACTTCCCAATATCCCCTCAGTCCCTGACAACCATTTCTATAAATCTCACTATTTTAGGTACCTAACCTAAGTAGAATACATATTCTTTTGTGTCTGGCTTATTTTACTTAGCATAAAGTCTTCCAAGGTTCATCAATGTTGTAGCATGTATCAGAATTTCACTCTTTTTAAAGGATAAGTAATATTCCATTCATATATGGTATATACCATGGTGTATATAACATACTTCATTTACTCATCCATCCACTGATGGACATTTGAGTTGTTTTCATCTGCTGCTATGAACATGGGTATACAAATATCTCTTTGAGTCCCTGCTTTCTATTCTTTTGGGTATATACCCAGAGGTGAATCATGTGGTAATTCTCTACACATTTTTCCAAGGAACCACCATGCTGTTTTTCACAGTGGCTGTACCATTTTACATCCCCACCCGCAATGCACAAGGGTTCCAATTTCCCTACATCCTTACCAATATTTGTTATTCTCTATTTCTTTGAAAGAGCCATCCTAATGGATCTGAAGTGGCATCTCATTGGATAAGACAGCTTTTATGAGGAAGGAACTTGAACCTCAGAAGAGTTAACTGTCTTATCCAGGACTACACAGCTTGTGATGGAAGCACTATCCAAAATCACACAGCTAGTGACGGAATCACTATTCAAAACCCAGATTTGTCCATGCTTTTTCCACTATATACCAGCTGTAGCAAATCATGTGTTAGCTTCAACCCACAATGTACTTTGCTAAAAAAGTATTCTGATACTGCAGCCAATCACCACACAGTGATGGCACATTTGCCACATATTTGACATCCCTATGTTACAGCAGAAATGCTGCCAAAATAGAAGGTACACGCATATCCAACATCATTGTTACTATTCTCAAACAAATGAGTCATTTTTTGATAAATGGTACTAAGAAAAACCAAGAATGTTTGAAAAAAAAACTAAAAGTCTAACAATTTCGAGAATAAATTCTAAATAATAGCATAATTTTCTGAAAAACTGTTTTGAAACTCTTAAAGCAGTCAACAATGATCGTTCTGAAAATAGAAATGTCAATAAAGTACTATTAACTTGTTAATCCTTAGTGGGTATTAGCTATTACTCTAATGTAACATTTTAATATTTTGTCTTTCCCTTGGAGATCATTTAAGTTTCTTGGCTGAACAAAGTCACTACGTGTTTGCCATTTACAGAAATACTTTTTGCAGTGTCTATTACAGCAGGTGAAAATATACAGTCTATATTTATTGATGAAGACAATATATTAAGCAAAATCTTCCAATCTCTGAAATTCCATCCTCAATTTTTAACTTTGTTCAAAAACTTCATCTATAATATATTCATTTACATATTTTTCATCCTGCGAAATGTTATCAGTTTTATTACCACAAAGTCTTATAAATGCTTATGATAAGGTATGATGAAAAACAGCAAAGCCTCAAAAACCACACATACTTACAATCTCTCAAAAGAGTATTACTTTTCCTTGGGTACAAAACATGCATGAATTTTTTCCCAACAGCTTTTAGATCACGCATCTGAAAGATAAAAACAATATGCTGTACTGTAATAACCAAGGCTGCTAAGTAGCCCCTTCAATTTGCTCAATTTTTTTATTTCAATCCCCCTAGGAGCCCTTCACTGAATTTTAGAGCCATAACTCCAGTCTAACTCCTTCACCATACAAACAAACCAGAGAGGTGGGGTTTTTGTATTAACTACTTTTTCTATTAACTTTTCCTTTAACTCCTAAAGCCAACATCTAACTCTACTACATTCATCAGTTCTGCTGATTTTGATTTTTTTAACTCTGCAAAAGAGAAATATAGCCCTCCTAATATGCTACTTGAAGAAATGAAAATAATAGCACTAGTAAAATCTGTTCTGCAAAACACATCATCTAACTTTCAGCTCACACATGATAAGGTCACAAGAGCCAAAGGGCCTGCTCCTAAGCTACCACACTCTTCACAATATGTAAAATCAATTAATTTTCAACATTCCCATTCATTCTGGCAAAAGAATCCTAGAAGTCAGATTTCAAAAAATCAAGACATTTGAAGAAGGGAACAGTCATTTAACGTCTCAAAATATAGTTGAGGTAATTCTGTCCTAATTTTTTCACCTAGAAATTTCTTCACGTCATTAATAGTTCTTTGAAAACATGATTTTTAATGGTTGTTTACCATTCTACCACATAGATGTAACATAATCTACTTAGCCGATTACTCTTCTGTTCAACTTTTCCCCACTATAAAGACTGCTGTAACAAACATCTTTGTATAAATATTTTTCTTTTAAAATTATCTCTGTATTGAATTTTTTCTCCTTGTACTATACAGAATTATCACCTTAAAAATGTGAACATTTTAAGTTCTTTAATATCCATTACAGCCAAACTGATTTCCAAAAAGGCTGTACCAAATTATTCTCTAGGGGAGAATCTTAAATTTCAATAAATAAAATACACTGAAAATTAGTGAACCAAACAAAAATATTACAAAGTGCTATTAGTTATTTAGCGTATGACACTGAACAGAAATTCTTTCAACTCATCTAACTTACAATGGTGTTCTGAACAGACTCATTTAATGTGGAGCTGTCAAATTCCCGAACGCGCGATCTCACAGGAATGGTGATTTCTCCTTCCACAGGGATGTCTTGTGGGATAGATATATCAGAAAGGCCTGCAAACTGAGAAGAGTTAGGGAAAAAAATTTAAAGTCTGTGAAATACTGCAGGATTTCCCCAAAGACATCATTTCTCAGTGAACTATATCTTTTTACAGGGTTTTATACAGTTTTTAAAGTAAGGTGTTAGTTCACCAAGCATTGAACAATACAGTTAATTAAAATTCTCAAATACTTGTTTCTTTTAAAGAAGGAGATGAAATATGATGAAAAAAATTATCAAGTAAGTGGCATAGATATTTTATGGGCTTTCCTAGTGGTGCAGTAGGTAAAGAATCTGTCTGCCAATGCAGGAGACACAGGTTTGATTCCTCAGTCAGGAAGATACCCTGGAGGAGGAAATGGCAACCCATTCCATTATTCTTGTCTGGGTAATCCCATGGACAAAGGAGCCTGGTAGGGGGTCAGTACACGGGGCCACAAAAGAATCAGACAAGACTTAGCAACTAAAACAACAACAATAGATATTTTCTTGGCCTCAAATAGTTTCTTTCAAGCATGAAATCTTAACAGGACATAGCTAGTAAGATTGTAGAACTATTGAAAAAAAGTGACCTTTCAGTGATCACATCTTAGCACTGTCATGATTCTTTTACACTTCTGCTCTTTAGTTAGCTCTAGTGGCCTCTGCTGACTAAGAAGGAACATTATGTAAAATCTAAAAGAAAATTGGGAAGAACATAGAAACAGTAAAGCACATTATTTATCTTGTTTTTTAACCAGATTATTGGCAACCACAGATCAAATAACATTTCCAAAGTGAACTGCAAGACTGCAAACTTTTAAACTCTTACATTCATATGCCAAATTTGATTATTGTGATTGAAACTATAGAATCTTCAAGTTTCTAAGAAAACAGAAGCAAACCCTCCTCATATGGCTCTTGGTCCAATGGGTCTAATGTTTAGTGTACAACAGTTGCAGGTAAATGAAAAACAGTACAGTAAAATTCTAGAAAGAATGAGGTTGTTCAAAAAATTTATAAAAAAACAACTTTTTGATCACAGTTTTACTAAACGTACTTGAAAATTCTTCACCCATTAGACTGGCAAAAATCCAAGTTTGACAACACACTCTGCAAGTAAAGCTGAGGGGAAAGAGCACTCATGGTTGGTGGGAAGGCAAAATGGTACTAGGCTCTACTGAAGATGAATCTGGCAATATCTAGCAAATTTACATATGGATTGCTCACCACTTTTAGGAGTCTAAAGCGGTAAATATACAAAAAGACATATATACAAGGCTCTTCATTACAATACTACCTGTAAAAACAAAACAAAACAAAAAAACCCTGAAAATAGCCCAAATGTCCATCAACAGAGAATTAGTTGAATAAAGCATGGTATGTCATAATGGAATGCTATGCAGCTGTAAGAGGAATGAGGATATCTCTAAAGAACTATCTGGTTGGCCAAAAAGTTCCTTCAGTTTTAAAGTAAAAATAAAAGACACATTTTTCATCTTCACCAAGAACTTTACTGAACAACGTACTCACCATTTGTTCCACTACCTTCTGCGATCCTTCAGGCAACTACGTAATTCCATCTTCCCAAAACTTTTTATCTTTTTGAGCAAATAACTATTCTAGGTGCCTTTTACAATCTTCTAGGGAATTGAATTTTTTTCCCATTAAGAGAATTTTATAAAGACCAAAATAAATGGAAATCTGAAGGTGCAATGTCTGGTGAATACAGTGGATGAATCAGAACTTCCCAGCCAAACAATTATGTTTTTGTCAGGTCATCAAAGAAACCTGAGGTCTTGTGTTACCGTGAGGAAGATTATGCATTTTCTGTTGACTAATTCCGGACACTTCACCAAGTGCTGCTTTCAATTGGTCTCACTGGGAGCAGTACTTGTTGGAAGTAATCCGTTGGTTTTCCAGAAGGAGCTCATAATAGAGGACTCCCTTCCAATCCCACCATGTACACACTGTCTTCTTTGGATGAAGACCAGCCTTTGGTGTGGTTGGTGGTGGTTCATCTCACTTGCCCCATGATCTCTTCTGTTCCACACTGCTGCACAGTATCCACCTTTCATTGCCCAACACAATTTTTTATTTTTTATTTATTGTTTCATTTATTTATATTAGTTTGAGGCTAATTACTTTACAGTATTGTAGTGGTTTTCGCCATACATTGATATGAATCAGCCATGGATTTACATGTGTTCCCCATCGTGAACCCCCCTCCCACCTTCCTCCCCATCCCATCCCTCTGGGTCATCCTAGTGCACCAGCCCTGAGTACTTGTCTCATGCATCAAACCTGAACTGGCGATCTGTTTCACAATTGATAATATACATGTTTCAATGCTATTCTCACAGATCATCCCACCCTCGCCTTCTCTCACAGAGTCCAAAAGTCTGTTCTATACATCTGTGTCTCTTTTTCTGTCTTGCATATATGGTTATCGTTACCATCTTTCTAAATTCCATATATATGCGTTAGTATACTGTATTGGTATTTATCTTTCTGGCTTACTTCACTCTGTATAATGGGCTCCAATTTCATCCACCTCATTAGAACTGATTCAAATGCATTATTTTTACTGGCTGAGTAACATTCCATTGTGTATATGTACCACAGCTTTCTTATCCATTCGTCTGCAGATGGGCATCTAGGTTGCTTCCATGTCCTGGCTATTATAAACAGTGCTGCGATGAACACTGGGGTACACGTGTCTATTTCAGATCTGGTTTCCTCGGTGTGTATGCCCAGGAGTGGGATTGCTGGGTCATATGGCAGTTCTATTTCCAGATTTTTAAGGAATCTCCACACTGTTCTCCATAGTGGCTGTACTAGTTTGCATTCCCACTAACAGTGTAAGAGGGTTTGCTTTTCTCCACACCCTCTCCAGCATTTATTGCTTGAAGACTTTTGGATAGCTGCCATTCTGACTGGCATGAGATGGTACCTCATTGCGGTTTTGATTTGCATTTCTCTAATAATGAGTGATGTTGCACATTTTTCATGTGTTTGTTAGCCATCTGTATGTCTTCCTTGGAGAAATGTCTGTTTAGTTCTTTGGCCCACTTTTTGACTGGGACGTTTATGGACGTTTCTGGAATTGAGCTGCAGGAGTTGTTTGTATATTTTTGAGATTAATTCTTTGTCTGTTGCTTTGTTTGCTATTATTTTCTCCAATTCTGAAGCCTGTCTTTTCATCTTGCTTATAGTTTCCTTTGTTGTGCAAATCTTTTAAGTTTCATTAGGTCCCATTTGTTTATTTTTGCTTTTATTACCAATATTCTAGGAGGTGGGTCATAGAGGATCTTGCTGTGATTTATGTCAGAGAGTGTTTTGCCTATGTTTTCCTCTAGGAGTTTTATAGTTTCTGGTCTTACATTTAGATCTTTAATCCATTTTGAGTTTATTTTTGTGTATACTGTTAGAAAGTGTTCTAGCTTCATTCTTTTACAAGTGGTTGACCAGCTTTCCTAGCATCACTTATTAAAGAGGTTGCCTTTTCTCCATTGTATATTCTTGCCTCCTTTGTCAAAGATAAGGTGTCCATAGGTAGCTGGATTTATCTCTGGGCTTTCTATTTTGTTCCATTGATCTATGTTTCTGTCTTTGTGCCAGGACCACACTGTCTTGATGACCGTTGCTATGTAGGATAGCCTGAAGTCAGGTAGGTTGATTCCTCCAGTTCCATTCTTCTTTCTCAAGATTGCTTTGGCTATTCGAGGTTTTTTTTGTATTTCCATACAAATTGTGAAATTATTTGTTCTAGTTTTGTGAAAAATAGCATTGGTAGCTTGATAGGGATAGCTCAATCTATAGATTCCTTTGGGTAGTATACTCATGTTCACTATACTGATTCTTTCAGTCCATGAACACGGTATATTTCTCCATCTATTTGTGTCCCCTTTGATTTCTTTCATCAGTGTTTTATAATTTTCTATATATAGGTCTTTTGTGTCTTTAGGTAGATATACTCCTAAGTATTTTATTATTTTCATTGCAATGGTGAATGGAATTGTTTCCTTAATTTCTCTTTCTGTTTTCTCATTGTTAGTGTATAGGAATGCAAGGGATTTCTGTGTGGTAATTTTATATCCTGCAACTTTACTATATTCGTTGATTAGCTCTAGTCATTTTCTGGTAGAGTCTTTAGGGTTTTCTATGTAGAGGATCATGTCATCTGCAAACAGTGAGAGTTTCACTTCTTATTTTCCAATCTGGATTCCTTTTATTTCTTTTTCTGCTCTGATTGCTATGGCCAAAACTTCCAAAACTATGTTGAATAGTAGTGGCGAGAGTGGGCACCCTTGTCTTGTTCCTGATTTTAGGGGAAATGCTTCCAATTTTTCACCATTGAGGATAATGTTTGCTGTGGGTTTGTCATATATAGCTTTTATTATGTTGAGGTATGGTCCTTCTATGCCTGCTTTCTGGAGAGTTTTTATAATAAATGGATGTTGAATTTTGTCAAAGGCTTTTTCTGCGTCTATTGAGATAATCATATGGTTTTTACCTTTCAATTTGTGGTGTATTATATTGATTGATTTGCAGATGTTAAGGAATCCTTGCATTCCTGGGATAAAGCCCACTTGGTCATGATGTATGATCTTTTTAATATGTTGTTGGATTCTGTTTGCTAGAATTTTGTTAAGGATTTTTGCATCTATGTTCATCAGTGATATTGGCCTGTAGTTTTCTTTTTTTGTGGCATCTTTGTCTGGTTGTGGTATTAGGGTGATGGTGGCCTCATAGAATGAGTTTGGAAGTTTACCTTCTGCAATTTTCTGGAAGAGTTTGAGTAAGATAGGTGTTAGCTCTTCTCTAAATTTTCGGTAGAATTCAGCTGTGAAGCCATCTGGTCCTGGGCTTTTGTTTGCTGGAAGATTTCTGATTACAGTTTCAATTTCTGTGCTTGTGATGGGTCTGTTAAGATCTTCTATTTCTTCCTGGTTCAGTTTTGGAAAGTTATACTTTTCTAAGAATTTGTCCATTTCTTCCAAGTTGTCCATTTTATTGGCATATAGCTGCTGGTGGTAGTC